GCTGGGTGCGTCCGTCTCCCTGGCACGTCGGGACCTGATCAGGGGCCATGGGCAAGGTGTGACCCCCACCCCTGTCCCCACATGCGGGGCCAGCTGTGGCCTCGGTTAAGGGGCTTTTTCTCTTTAAAAGAGGAGATGGGACTTAAAAGCATTCATATGCACGCTGAGTGTTTAATCTGTGAAAAAACACGACGCCGTGCTGCAGCCCCGTCGGAGGCGTGCAGGTCTGATGCTTTCCCAGCTAAAGTAACGCTGTCTTTTCATGCCGTAGGACCTTGACGCAGGAGGATCCAGGCGACAATCAGATAACCCTGGAGGAGGTCGTACAGATGGTAAATACCCTTTTCCTTCGTCACTCCGCCTGGTAGCTCGGCGTGGGGGCAGGGGAACTGCTCGAGATCCCCGCGCTCCGGCACACCCGGCTTGGTGGAGAGTGGTCCTCCAAGCCCGCCGTCCGGGCGTACAGCTACAAAGCAGGGAAGGGTTTTCTGGGGACGGGGCCAGCTGTGAGCACAGCTGGATCTGTTATGGGCAGAGGCAACACTAATCCAGCCCGCAGCTATTTAGTCCTCCTGCACCGTCGGCAGGATGGCTGGAGTGGGCATGGAGATGTGCCTGCCTGCTGTTGCCGGTGCCTGCCCGAGGGACGCAGGAAAACCCCGTGGGTTTCCACTGTCTCCTCTGTGTCCCCAAAGCTGTGCCAGTGCTGCTGTGCGCTGGTTCCAATTGATGGCGCAGCTGGCGTCAGTGCCGCTCCCCCGGGAGCAGAGCCCTGGGAACGTGCAATGGATGTAAAACCGTCAGGGTGGCTGCAGTGCATTTGTTGCCTTCCTGCGTTAAAAAAAAAACAAAGTCTGCTCCCAGAAAAACTCAAGAGCCACTTTAAATTGGCCTGGTGCACCTGAAACAACAGCAGCTCTGTCCCCTGGCTCTGCTGGCCGGCTTCTGGAGTGGTTGAGCCCTCCTGGGGTTTTTTTAAGCTTTTGTCTGCAACCACGGGTGCTGGAAACTTCCTTTGAAGAAGAGAAGAGAAACGAAACCAGAGAGTTTCGGTCTGCCCCTCAATCTGAGCAGCTGCGCAGCAGCGACCTGTGGTCAGAGGCGCGGTGGGGACACGGGGGAGCCCTGGGTTTTGGGGTGCACATCAGGCTGATGGGGGCTGTGGCTTCCCCGGCCCCCTCCTCGTGCGCTGGGGTGTGCGTTGTGCCGTGTGCTGAAGCCTCGGCCAGGGTGCCCTCCAGGGTGTGTGCAGCCCTCCTGCATGGCACCGCTGCTGCTGAGAGCCACCGGTGCCGCTTGCCCACCCAGTGTTTGCTGTCAGCAGCACCCCGTGCTCTGGCAGGGTGTACCCCCGCAGCCTGCACCCCCGCAGTGTGCACCCACCCCCCGCAGCCTCTCCCTGGGCCCTTGAGCCGCCGCAGAGGAAGCCCAGCTGGTGTTTGCTCCCTGGGAGCCGCTTTCGAAAATCCCTTCCCGCTGGCCAGGAGGG